CAAAAGGTAATTGAAGACCCCCGGCTTGCAAAACAAGAATTATAAGAAACAAGCAAACGGGTTATAGATGAGTGTGTGTGCAAAGAAGCAACAAGTACAGTTAACAAAAAATGCATCAAGGATAAATGTGCACAGAATGAAATACTGACAACTACTATCATAGGAAAACGCCAAGACTAACATGCAGTAAACATGTAGATAACCGTCTATTGTATGAGGTACAAGTTGTAAAAAGAATGACAAGGTGTTTTTTACCTCGAAGCTAAGGCTGCCGAGGGCCTTGCTGCCATCATCTGGTCGTCTTGCATTTGGATAAGAGAAGGTTTTCCCAACCTTTGAGGCATGATAGAAAGAGTTGAGTGTAAGAATATAGTCGTTCTCGAGTCTAGTTACAAAGGAGTTGACTTTTTGAACCATTGTTCTTGGTTTTTACCATCATTTTTCCAGAAAAGCAAAACAAGAAACACAGATTCTGCAAGGATATATAATTTTGAACAAAAAACTTCAAGTACAACAGGTTTCTTGCATTTGTATAAACATAATTTCTCCAAATTCACTCATCGTTGCAAACTAGTATTTTTTCAAGCATTTTCACAAGAATGATCATCAGTCAACATCAAAAAGCCAAGTACAAAGTTCAAAGTCGATAACTCGGTTACAAAGCATTCTGCCATTAAGGACATCTGTTTGATGATTTGAAACAGCTAAAACGGAAGTAATGAACTTATTTATGTTTGCTCTCCTTATCATGCCAAAAAAAAAATGCTTAGGTTTCACTCATTTGTAAAAGGAACAATAAACATTTGATGGTAAAAATTGAGTTTTCAAGAAAAGAACACGTATAATTGTAGTTGAGTTTTTATAAGATGAATAAGAACTGAAAGCTACAAACTAGGATGTAACTGCTATTTGGAAGGGAAGAAAAATAAAACAAAAGATTTTGGCACAAGGGTCGTTTATCTTGCAAAACAAATTAAAGGGCAAAAAAATCATACAATTTGGAACGCAGTGAATAAACTATTATTATACTAGAAGCGTACTCGTGCAATGCAGCGAGATA